TATGTAAATCATTGTGTAGGATGGAATTGAAATGAATAAGGAATGGAAGGACAATAGAGTAATTACAAGGAAAAATAATTAAAGAAAGGATAAGTATTTATATATAAGGATACACGTGGGTGGAAGGGGAGAAAACACCCAAGGCTTCCAGAGTTCTCTTATTCTTCTTTCTTCCTTGTGCGTGTGAACCAAAGCAAAGGTAAGATTTCTGATTATTGAGTTTCTTGTTAAATTTAGGATTGGTTTTTTATTATCAGATGATAACTAAGCTTAAGGAAAGCTTAAGTTATCTTAACATCAAAGGATGATGGAGTTAGGAGAGATTTAAGATTTGAAGTTCTTAAATGAAATCTTGGAATAGAGTTCAAAACTAGAATTGAAAGTAAAATTTGACTTGTCATCAATCTAGTTAAGATATACGAAGTGTTAAAAGTGGAATTCAAACATGTTGAATTATTGATGTAATTCTTGAATTACATATGAATGATAGGATTTGAAGGTTTAAGATGAAATAAATGAGTATAAATTGGTTTAAGGATGTGTACTAGAGTTAAGAATTAAAAGGGGATTAAACATGAAGGATTTAATCCAAAATGAATGAATTTTCGGGTTCAAAAAGAGGATTCTGGGCATAGTGCATCGATGCATATTCATAGTGCATCGATTCATCAAGGTTAAAACCCATAAATTGTTTGAAGGTGTATCGATGCACAGGTAGTGCATCGATACACTCTTTTAAAATAAAAAGATCGAATGCAATTAGTGCATCGATGCATTCCATTAATAATAAAACATCGAATGCATTTTATGCACCGATGTACAAGTAGTGCATCGGTGCATACCTTCATTAAAAGAGGAAATTGGCATTTATCTTAATCTAAAGAGTGAACCATTATAGTATATTAGCTATAATACTGATATAGATCCATGTGTAATTATGTAGATACTAAAAGTAAGCTTATTCCGGAACGATCAAAGGATTAGAATCGAATCAAAGCAAAGCTAAGGTGAGTGCATACTATATGTATAGTATAATGGAATAAGACTTGTGATAAGTCTAATCTCTATATTGATTTTCATAGTACAGTAGTTGTGAACATGCATACATGATAATTATTGTAATACATGCATAAGGCATACATATGTTCATGTGATTGGATAAATGATGTATATATATGAATAGATTCAAATACACATGTGATATGATATGTGATATGAGAACATGACATGAAGTAAGTGACATGAGCTACATGATCACAAGAGAAATGACATGAGTACATGAACATATGAAATATAAGAATAATGCCCATAGTATATAATATGAGAGCTATAGGCGTAATTGGCATGCCCAGAGTCGAGGGTATAATAGTCCATCGGGACGTAGTCCTTCGGGATGTAGTGGTCCTATGGGACATATATGACAGTCTTTCGGGACGAATACTGAACTAAGGTTCGGTGCCCCATGAGGGAATTGATACGAGCTGTGGTGACAGCATTAGTGCACAACCTCTATGTACTCACATACCTCTATTCTCAATAATATACATGGGCAATTAAAATACAAAGTAAAGTGGTACAATTAGGTAAGTTTCGTACATACACGATATGATTATATATGTTATTGTGTAATAAATACATACATATTGAAATGTCATGAAGGAAATGGTAAGAATGCATATTCATGAATATATTGTTGTATATTCATTTATTTCCTCACTAAGTCTATGACTTAGCGTGTAAGTGATTTACACGTAGGTACCAAGAAATAAGAAGATTCAGAATAGAAGTGGAACAGACAACAACATTACTAAGAAATCATATCAGAAGTAATTGACAAAGTATGTATTTTGTTGTGTATAGAGTGTTGGTATGTAATAAGTGGTTAATTACGAATGCTCTGATCGATTTTGTATTAAGTGGTCTCTTTTATGTAAATTAAAGTATTTTGATTTAAACAAAGTTTTAAATTCCCGGGACTTTTCTTTAAGAATCAAACTTTGAAAAGTAAATGTGACATCTCAGACTTGTATTCGGATCGAATATGAGTTAGGGGTGTTACACCTGGAACCTTTAAAGATATTGTAACATTTGTAATAATACGTCAGATAATATTAAAAATTTATCATTTTTATCAAATAAATAAAATAAAATATTTTTTAAAAATATATCATATAATATTATATCTTAAAGAATTTAAATAATTTTACATTTTATAAATCAAATCAATTTTTTTAATAGTATGAAGTAATTAAAAGGTAGTATATGTTCAAAATTTTCTTAATCAATTGACAATATACATCCTGTAGATACTTATACCTCTAGTAAAACAATATATTTTTTTATAAAAATTCAAGAATGCTCGTCGAGTGTGGATGAACATCGTTAACGATGAGCATCATTAAATTAATTTATAAAACGTTAAAAGTATAAAATACTAAATGTATAATTATAAATTAGTTAAAAATCTAAATGTAATTTAATTAAAATATAATATTTATAAAACATTAGTTTTTATAATCTTATTTTAATTATAATTATCAAATATTAATTTGGGAAATTTGTAAACCCTAATTTATTTTCATAGTTTTGAAGCATCCACTGCCGCCTTCATTGCCACCACTGTCATCGCCATCGGGTCATCTCTCGTTGGCGATTTTGTCTTTTTCGTTCGTCGACGGTGAAAAATGATATCGGTGGTGGCGATGGTGGCATGAGCTTTAAAAATATGAAAATAAGTTAGGGTTAATAAATTTCCCAAATTAATATTTGATCTAATTATAATTAAAATAAAATTATAGAATTAATTTTTATTAGGAATGGTCAAAATACCCGAACTCGACGAATCCCAACCTGACCTTACCCTATAGGGAAATTTCGGGGCTTGGGGCTGGGCGGGGCGGGTTATGTAGTATATAAGTTCAACGTAGGGCGGGGCCGAGTTTAAGGTGAAAATCACGACCCAACTTGGTTAATTTATAATTTTTAAATAAAATATATTTAATATTTTAGGAATTCTAATTTTATATTATTAAAAATGTTATTTAATTATTAAAAATATAAAAAATATTATAAAATATATTATTTTAACCTTTTAAAATTCAATAAATTATTATAAATATAATATTATAAAATATATTATTTTAATTATTTTAAAATATTAATATATTTATATCAGCTCAGATCGGGGTCGAGTTTTAGTCTAAAAATCAGGCGGGTTTGGGTCAGGGCAGGGCCCGATAAAAGAAATATGTTTTCTGATTGGGGTTTGGGTGACTAAAAACCCAATCCGATCTGATATGTGTTCATCCCTTTGTTTTATAAATATTATATTTTAATTAAATAACGTTTAAATTTTTAATTATATATTTAATATTTTATAATTTAATATTTTATAAATTAATTTAATAATATTTATCGTAAATGGTGTTAATCATGCTATCGTAGCAACATCATCCTTTCTTCATTGATACTAAGTAGTGACAGATTCTAAATCAAATCAATCTTAAACGTATCGTAATTGGCATAATTAGTAGGCAAGAAGGATTCAGCGAGTATCTGCCTTAATCATTCCAACTAACCAAAAAGCAAACAAGTCATAAATGACAAGAACTTTTGTGTCGGAGAGGAATCAAATATGACACGCTTTCTTGCTTTCCACAGCTAACTAATTTGGTGTATAATTGTATTCGGAAACTCAGTGCACTCTTACAAGCAATGCATTGAGGCCTTTATTTTCAATTTATTATTTGTAACGTGAAAGAAAGTGTTGAACAACAATCCTGCTAGAGCCGGTGCTGGGGATATCATCAGAGACTATCACGGCAACTGGCTCATTGGCTCTCGTAAATGTCTTGGTCATGCATCTATCTAACATGAGTGATGAACTTGTGATGACTTGTATCTGGCAAAACTTATAAATATTGACCATCTTATCATTGAGCTTGATGCTAAAGTTGTGAATTGTGATGGATCTTTGTGGATTGGATTAAATAGGTTGCGACAATTATTGGTGATGTATTTCTAATTTGTCCGGTGAAAAATAGACTGTTAATCGGTGTCAAAATGATGTCTTCAAAAGGAGGTAGAACATAAGATAATTATGGTGAAGTGGTTTCATTGAGGTCGCATCCCGTCTATCAATTATGTTCAGAAGATTTTATAAAGACTTTTAGTGCAGTTGTTAATCGTAGAATCATAATAACTACTTGTAGACTAATTGACTAAATGAATACGATCAATTTACGACATTACCGAATATAGAAGGAGCACCATGAGCTTTTCCTCATAGCCCCACCTTCTATCTTTATATTTAAAGGCCCATATTTTTTTCTCAATCCCATAAAATTCTTAATTTCTTATCTTTTATCTCTATTTCTCTCATTAGTTCATTTAGGTACAAATTAAATCCAACCATAACTCTCTATTTCCCAAATCCTATCTTTAATTTATCAAATATCATTTAACTCTTGATATTCTCTAATCTCAATCTAATGGTAAAATAATACAACAATCTACACAATTTTCCTATTTATTGTTCAAGATCAGGCTCCATATCATAAATAATTTATTTTTTTTCAAATTCTAGAAGAATAAGAAAATTGGATATTTTTGAGCTTTCAGATTTGTTAATTTCAAGAAGAAGACGGTACCAAAGAATTGAGAAAAAAATTAATTTTTAAAATTATTTGACTCAAATTATATATGGATTTATTTTTGAATTTTCGTTCAAGATTATGAAAATATTCGAGACAATTCTAAATGACGATAAGTTTGAATTTTAGTAGATCACGTGCTTGTCAGAATTCAATGCACATTACCAAATTCCAAAGTTTATACATAGATACTAGATTGATATACATCACAATTCTTAATTATAAGATAAACAAGTAAATCACGATCTCTAGCATACACCCATTTTTTCAATACAATAGAATCCTAAAACTACTTGATGCAAGCATTTAAAGGTAGCATACAATCATTGAAGAATAGATAAGACTAAGGGCATACTGATATTACCGTGACTTCATTCATTTACAAGGCAAATGCACTACTGTGACTTTGTATGCAAGGCGGCCACAGTTGAGACCATGGAGTCCACTCCACAAACATTGCGACCTCTGCAGATCCTGTAATACCCGTCCTCTCCCCAGTTTGCTCCCCATGAATTCTTTATGATCCAATACGGCTTGTTCTTGAACCGGATCGGTGCATAACCTTCAGCTCCATACCCTACCAGAAGAACTCCGTGATCCAAACTTCTGAAACAAATGTACGGGCAAGAAACTCCTCCCATGTATGTCTGCATGAAAGCTGCATTGATACCCACTGCAACAAACCATAACATGTTCACATTCCACCTACAGAAACTCAATGATTATACCCTATACTCGAAAAGGCATGGAATTTACCTGCAAGTGGACCGTGCTTCACCAAATTGGCAGCGATTTGATCCTCGTCGACGGAAACGACACTGAAGTTGGAAACAGAAGCGGCAATTTTGGTCTTGTCAAATTTGCAGGGACCACGGTCGTTCCCGGTGTAAGGATAATCCTCCTCTCTCTCAAGTCCACCAGCCTTAAGAGTGTACTCAAAGGCCGAGGTCATCAGCCCACCATTACACCCCGAGTCACACGCCCCATATTGCTCTGGATCACACTGCAAAATACCCCTTTCTTATAATTAGTTTAAGCACCGGAATTGCAGCCAAAAACCATGTAAAAATCTTCTGAAATTTTGAAATTACACAACAATAATTGATCTTTTAGCATCAAATTAAGTTTTATCAGGTCAATTAGTATCTTTAACAAAAAGCTTTCACTCTTCTAAAGCAACAATCTCAAGACTTATTAAACAATCAAAAAGCCGTAAACTGAAGTAAGAAAGATCGAAACCTCGTGATCACAGTCAACAAGCTGCTGCTCACTCAAGCTTACAAGCTCCCCTGTCGACAAATAATTGGCTCCCTCCAAAGCACCTACCGCGCTAAACGACCAGCACGATCCACACGAGCCCTAAATATCACCGTAACACAGAGGAATTTTAACGAATCTATATAGAAAGGTGGATCCGTCTGATCGGACAATTCATGTTTTATCATTACCTGGTCTTTAACGCCGGTGACGGCGCCGTGGTCGCGCCAGTCAAAGTCCTCCGGTAGGTTGTCAGTCGGAAGGATGGGAGCCTTTTGAGCATCGGCTGGGAGCTTGAGCGGTTTCAAGCCAAGGAACTGTTGGCGGAACTCCGATGGAGTCAAATCAGAGAACTTAGTGACGCCGTGGACGGCACTGGGGTCCAGGAGCGCATTACGCTTGGCCCGTAGCAGATTAGCCTTGAAGACTCCCATTCGGTAATCGTGTTCCTCCTGGGTGGCGTAGGTTTTCCCGTACTTGGACTTGAACAGCGTGAAGTGGTGCTCGGCGTTCAAGAGGTGGTTATCTGTCTCTTGCTCAACGCCACCATCGGGAACTACTTGACGGATGAGGGGATCTTCGTCGCTATTAAAGTCGTATACGACGGCGGAGACAACATAGGTAGCGACGGCGGAAGCAACGAAGGTGGAGAGGAGGAGGAAGAGAAGAGAGAAGCGGTCCATCTGTTTGGATAGGGATAAAGGAAGAAGCTTTGTGAAGTGAAGTCGTAGACACGAGAAATTTATACCTGTTGTTTCCAAACTATTGGTAGTTGGTGGTACCTGCCCTGACACGTGTTCTTCTTTCATTCGCTAAAATGAAAATATCTGGTTTAACATTTGATTTATATTTTTTAAAAATATAAACTTTTCCTACAATCCTTTTATTTTCACAATTATTTTTGCTTCTAGTTGTTTGAGATTTTTATAAAGTTTGAGATTTAATTTCACATGAGAGATGTTGTTTTGAATTTCAATTAAGTTAATAGATTGAGTAATATTATTTTAATTTAGACTGACATTATATTTTAAATACAATTTTAAGCTATCTATTCATGTTTTCCAAATAAAAAAATTAAACATCCAAGTTAAATTCTTTTATTAATCCATTTACTATACCTAAAATTATATGTTTGATCCTTATATTTTAATTTGATTATTTTATATTCTTATATTTAAAAAATTTTAAATTTAGAAATTTATCCAAGTTATAATTGTTTAATTTATTAAATTACGTTACTAATATATTTATTATACAAAATTTATAGATTTAATTCATGATTTTATTTTCTATTTTTTTGTATTTCAATCATTTTAATTTCAAGTTTTTTTAGTTTAATAATATCACATTGTATAATTCGAGTTATGATCAAAATTTTAAATTAAATTTCATCAAATTAAAATATAAAAATCAAACATATAAATTATTAAGTTATCATTTAATATACAATAATTAATAATTACTAAAAGTGTCAATACAAAATTAGAAGTTTAAAGGTTTAAATCTCATTAATCACAAATAAAATTTAATAAAAAAATAAAAATATATACGCTTTGTGTTTTCTCGGAGCAATCATATTGTTTTGTTGTCTTTTTATCCCAAAAGAAAATCCAAACATTTTTAATTATTTCTTTAAATTAAGATGATAAAATGAGGTGAATATTACAATTTTTTATAAGTCGTTATGTCTTTCAAACGACCTAAATTAATAATTATATATTTGAGCGATGATTATCTTTTTTCTAAGTCGATAACCTATATCGGTCATTCGGAGCATATGATGACTTACGTTGTCGGAGCAGCGGCGACCTATTGAATCACTGTATGAAAAAATAATTCATGGACTTCATTATTTCATGATTTTTTTATTTTTTCGTTGCATTATTCCACCGATTTTACCAATTAAGATGAACCCTAGTTTTACACGCAAGCCATGGAGGAAAAGTTAACAGGCTGACCCACAACCAGCGTCCCCCTCACAGTTAACAAGTGGGTGGATTTGGACCAAAAAGGAAAAGACAGGTATGGAGTTTTATTATAATTATTTTATCTAAAATGATAAAAAAAATTAACTCATCATATTCTCATATGTAATGAGGTAAGAGGAGGTACGATAGTAGGTTGTCCTCAACGTCAAGTTGAGAACAGCTTCCGTGGGAGACCTCCGGCAATTAGATTATGAATTGCCCATCATGAGACTCAATCCCACGACCACAAGGTTAAGAGCCTTGCGCTCTACCAACTAAGCTGAACCTACAATTCATCTAAAATGACAAAAGAAAAGGCTAAATTACTTATTTGATCATCTATAATAAAATCTCTATAAAATAATATTGTTAGGATTCGAAAAATTATTATCGTATCAATAAATAAACATTTTATTAATATAGTGATAAATTAATAAATTGTTTATTAATTTAGAGAATATTTTATACTTTATGCTGATAGTATTTTTTTTCACAATTTGATATGCATGCAGGTACAATATATCACAGAATCTTTTAAGTGTACGTGTCAAAGTTATTTGGTTTATGTAACAAAAAAGAGTTAATGGTTTCAAAATTCACATATATATTCATTGGATAGATTAAAAAATTATTATAAATAAACACATGTTCGTATCAAAATATTGTAATTCATATTATGACTTCCCATTTAAAAGATGTGGTCCAATGATGTAACGAGTATTCTCGTCTTCATAGAGTATATGCTCAATTGCAGTTTGGAGAGCCTCTTCTCTCAACTTCTTTTCGGGCCAACACATTAGGATAGGTTCATCGATCCTGTGAAGTGATATCCAAAGAATATCCTGCAGCAATGGGTGAGGGTAGTACAATTATTCCTGCAAGAAAAAGTGAAAGGTTTTCGATGTTAAATGAAAATTCAAAATAACACCGATTTAAAACTTAACTCGAGTTCTTAACGAGTCTAAACGACATACTTAATATCCGACTCAAAAAGCTCACGAGCAACTCGAAAAAAATAATATATTAAATTATTAATAATATTAAAATTTAGGTTATTATTTTTTAAAATATAATATAAGGTTTTCATGTACTTAAGGTTCAAGCTCGAGTTCGAGCTTCAATTGAGCTAAATATGGGAACGTTTCAAGTTCAATTTTTTTAAGCTCGAGTTGAGCTTCAATTTTTTACTTTCAGTTTGAGTCGAGCTTAACAATTGTAAGCTCGTGATCTTTCTAGTCAGATATTAATTAGCTTGTGAGTTTTTTTTAATAATATAAGCTCGTGAGCTTTCAAACTGAGTTGAGCTTACGAGTTGATAGTTTTAAACCTGTGAGCTTACGGAGTTGAGTCGAACTCAATTTTAATCTTTTTGGGTCGAATCAAGTTTAATAATACTTGAACTTGACTCGACTCATTTAGTACCCTACACAAGTTTACATTTAATTCATTGTAAACAATGTGCACTCTGAATTAGAACCGAGATTATAAACTTTAAGAACTGTTACAGCGCTTAATTATATATCTATTGTTAATTTTATCTACAGCTTACCACAAAAGGAATTACAATTTGACTTAATTAAAAAAAGTGTTCAAATTATATTTATTGTTAATTTTAGAAATTAAAGTGTTTTTTTATCAGCGTATCTATTTATGTTTTCTCTGTTATCATTTTAATGTTTAGTCTGTCATGACTGTTTAAAAAATCTATCAATTACGACATGTAACGTATTTATAAATTTTATTTAGAAAAACTGAAAATTATTATTGTTTTTAAAAAAAATCAAAATTTCTAAAATATCAAAAAGCTCCCTAAAATCTTTAAACACAAATCAACTCCGTCATCGGCTATCACCACTATAGTCGGCCGTCCATCCACCGATTTTTGAACCTCCATTATCAATCATCCCTTACTTTCGTCCCTAAATCCTGAATATTCAGATGTGGTGTTGGTTTACTTTAAGGGAAAAATTCAGTGAAGCCATCCATCGGCTGAAGTTGAGCTGTGGAATGAAATAATTACCTGTTTGAGCAAAGATACAGATGAGGTAGTTTTCATCCATCCATGGTTGAAGATTACCGATCTAGAGAGATCAAATCTCACGGGAGCCGGCAGCGGCAGAACCGGCGGCGTAGTGCTGCATCTTGCTTAACTAATCATTATTCAGTAAACATGTATAAATTAATACTCGATAAATTAATCATTTCTCTAAAATATTTCTCAATCCCAACTAGAATCCAAAGTCTAAACAAATAAATAATAATTTCTCCAAAGTCTAGAATCCAAAGTCTAAACAAATAAATAATAATTTCTCCAAAGTCTAAATAAATAAATAATACTTTTTAAAGGCTCTTATATAAATTTATGATTCCTTTAATATTATAAATTAATTTTTTTTATAAAATTACAAATATAAATAGTTGTTTGCTTCTTGTTAAAATTTAAATTCAACTCTATTCCATCTCTAATTTCCTTAGAGTAATGTAAGTTCATTGAATCGGAAAGAATATCTTTAAATTATTAATTTATTAATTAATTAACTTTTTTATGTGATTCTAAAATTATTAATTTATAAATTTTACTGTATATGTTTTGCTAGCATTTTTTCCAAAATCATCCCCGTTAATGATTTTATTAATCATTGTAAAAAGAATTATATTTTTCCAACATCCATTTCTTCCTTAATTTTACATGTTGGACGGAAAAACATGTGTGCTGGTGTGTATACTTTTGGGTAATTAACATTGTCATCCCAATTACTGATTTAAAATTTAAATTGATTGATAAAAAAATTAAAGTGATCCTTCAAATTAAAGTATCATTCTAATTATATCATTCATTTTCATTAGTCAATATCATTTTAAGAAACCTTTTACGCCGGCATCGAAGCTGGTTGGCCGGGCCTGGAAACAACACGTGACTGATATATTTAGAGAAACCTAAATAAAAACAAACACTTCATATAGTTTTCATGGATATTACTATATATATTGCAGGACACTTCATATATTCTATTTATATTTACACATATGTTATTATATATTTACACCTATATGCACACTATTCTTCATGACTTTCATTCACGTACTATTTATCTAAACATGCTATCTTGCTTAGCTTAGCGTTTTACATGCACCATGGCGATTGCAAGGCGTCCCAGCCAGTGGCTTCCATAAGGTTATTGCTACCGAAGCTGCCTGGATCATCATCAACCATCATCGGGAAATCTAAAGACATAGCAGTTTCAGCCCAAATATTGTCGTTTAAAACAGGCAAGTTCACACTCATATTCTCCCAGAACCTATCGGTTCCATCTTCATTAACCTGCCCAAACTTCGCTTCCTTCTCGTTGGGGAAAGCCATGACCGAGTGGTCGTTGCTGTTGTACACTGGAAGTGCCATTTCATTGACCCTAATAGATGGGATATTAGATGAGCTCATACCTGATGAATTGTTCAGGTTTTGGGGTACCTGACTAGGTTGAGACTGAGACAAATTGAGCTTGGCATCGGGGCCGTAGAGTTTACGTGCGGCGGCATCGTAAGCCATAGCGGCTTCATGGGAAGTGTCGAAAGTCCCAAGCCAAAGACGAGCACCACGATTGGGTTCACGGATTTCAGCCACCCATTTACCCCAAGTTCGCTGCCTGACACCTTTATAAGTACAGAAAGCGTTCTCTGGACCACCTTTGCCTCTCATGCAACCTTTTCTCGAGCTAGCTTGTGCAGGCTTCCTCACTTGTTTGCTCTCTGGTCCAAAACCACCCATCATTGACATTGTTTCCGACCAATGGAGGGGTAAAGAAAGGTGATTGATAACTGATAAGTACATTGGGTGAAGTGGTATTTATAGTAAGGGGAAAATGGAGATAAGAGCACATTGAAACGTGTCTTGAGCAGGGTTTGGGATGATACATGGCATGGAGTAGTAGCTTGCTCGTGTCGACAGCAAAGCTTGGTTTCATTTCTGGAAGATACACTTGGCTGAGGCTGTTTGTCTGTACACAAGCTCATGTGGCAAACATCCAAGGAAAAAAAGAAATGGGAAAAGTAGATGGATTTTGAGGAATTCTGGAGATAAATGTTGAGATTAAACAATGGAGGAATCGGTTGAAGATAAGAACATTAGAGGCTTCTCATTTCTATTCAAAGGGACAATCTGACTTCGTACACTGAATGTGATTTGCAAGGTCAAATGAGAAACTCAATGGGGCCCACTTCAGTGCCAAAAATAAATCCTTCCGTGCACTGAATCTATCCCGGTCCCAACTCGTCTCCACTCGAATATTCGAGAATTTAAAATTATTAAATTTGACTTAAATTTGAAATTAAAATTTAAAATTCAATTCAATGTCAAAAAAAATTGAACTTGAAACATACTCAAACTTAATTCGATTAAAACATAAACTTAAACCTCAACCTGAACTTGAAATACATAAAAACATTATTTTGCACATTTTATATAAAACGTATAAATATTAATATTATTAATAATTTAATTTAAAAATAAAAAATAAATTATTATTTTTTTAGTTGCTTATGAGTTTTTTCGGTAGGGTATCAGATAGTTTGCTTCAGCTCGTTAAAAACTCGAGTCGAATCCATTTGATTCAAGTGTTGATCGAGTTGTATGCGAGTAACTTACGATATATCTTGTCTCATTTACAATCTTAGTCCACAGTGTTAGCATTAGTGCCCTAGGCCTATTATATGAACATGATATTTTGGTTATTGGATTTATTTTTATAATAATTTGCATGTTTTTGTATATTAATATCCTTGAATATTATTTTTAATTATTCTAAATATCCCTAATCGATTATTATGATTCTCAACATGATGATTATTATGTTTTGACATAGTCAAATGTTGTCTTTAATCGGACAATTATAAAGGTTGTGCTTGAATATGCAAGAATCATGTAGTGAGATGTGAGTGACTAAGATGAAATTTATCACTCTTATCATAAGAGAGATATCTTTAGCCCCTCGATGATTGAGACTGACAAATACATGGTAGTGCTCAAATGAGTTGATAGAGATCAATGTCATTTGTTTAACCAATTCAATTAGACATCGAGAAATTGAAGATGGAGCTACATAAGGTTGACATTTTCCATGCCTTATATTCTATCAAGATATCGTGAGATAAAAGAATTGTGACACAAGTTGCGTTAAGATTGTCTAGGATCGTGAGCTTTTCATTTAACTTGGTAGTAATAATGTCTTGCTAGAGGTCACTTATAACTTATATGATCAAATGTGATTTTATTTACTGCATTGAATCTACAGGGTCGCAAATAAGAATGGTTATAGTTATTACTTTCAATAATAATTTAAGATAATGAGATTATTTTAAATTATATTGTAAAAGATTATTTATTATATATCTGAGATTCTTTTAAATTATATTATAAAAGATTATTCATTATTTATTCGAATTTAACTCAAAGAAGTTAAATTCATAATCTTTTAATAGGATATTTTATATATTATTATTTATTTATTTGATTTAGAAATAATATTAAATAAATAAGATTTAATTAAGATTTGATTGATTTTGAATTTCTATACAATTTAAATTGTTATCTGTTTTAAAAAGAAGTTTAAGATAAGTAATAATTGAATTGGTATTTAATTTAATTTAAATATAATTAATTAGTTAATTAATTGTAAAAAACCGGAGGGTTAATTTAACCCTAATAAAATCATATATATTTGAGGATTAATTTAGAATAATAATCATAGTCTAGGGATGAAATTAAAATATTTAAAATTTAGAAATTAATTTAAAATAAGAAAATTTGAGGACGTATGATGCAATTAGTTCAAGAAAACATAATTAAACTATTATTATTTTTATTATATTACAATAAAATATAAATTTTGAATCAATTAAGTTCGATATAATTTTAAATAGATTTTATATTCATCTTTAATAAATAATTTAACCTATTAACAATTAACAATGTAGACACTCACAAACACAACTATTCGAATTCAAAATCTTTAAAAAGAATAATTTTTTCTTTTATTATTAATGCCAGTTGATGGATTATAAATAATAATCACTTATATGAATTATAATAAAATAAAAATATATTTTTAAAATGATTGGGTGATGTAATACCCATAAGCATGCGGGCTCTTACACGTGAAGTTATTTGCTTTCTATTTGGTTCAGCGGTCTTTTATGGTATAATATAAAAGGAAGTTTTATACGCTAATGTATGATATTATCATTGTACATCTTTGGATGATAGGTTGATCCAGCTGTATACAAATAGTATTAGATTATAGTTGCAGTTGTAGTGTTACGAATATTACCACGTGATTTATTTATTAAAATTAACTATGATTTATATTACATTTATGGTTGATATGTCAGGGTGACTTTAAAAATTATTACTATACAGTCGTTATATTACGTTGTGATCGTATTTAATACTATCTGTATAACATGTTGCTTGAAGGTCCTAGTAATGTTAGCTACTCTGCTGTTGGTGGTTTTATCTGATCAAATTCGAGAACTGAGGGAGTCCATTGAGCTCCCTCTAATGAATCCTAAACTTTTCTTTAGACTTGGGATTAAACATCCTAAGGTGATTCTTGCTTCTTATCCCACCTGTCTCCCAGTTATGGAGATTCAAACAGTTTGCTTATGTGCATATTGTTGGATGAAGCACACTGGTTAACTGATGTTTGTTTGAGAATCATTTTAAATTTCTTATTTTTATTGTAAGGTGCCTCAGTGATGGATAGAAAGGGGTTGGCAATGGTGGCGGTTCTTTTAAAAATTTAAAATTTCCATATATTTTAGTAGAGATATAGTTAGGATTGAACTATGAGGGGTCCTAAAAAGTAATTAAACTATAAAAATTAAGAAATTAAGGATTTAATTTTACTAATTTTCAAACTCAAAGGTCTTAAAAAGCAATTAAGCCAAACAAATTTGGGGTCAAGGCTTAAATCCATTTTTTTTAGAAAACTGGCAGTGTCCTAAAAACAATTATACCAAAAAAATTTGAGAGGCCAAGGATATAATTGCAATGGTTTCAAACCTACCAATGATTTAAATGTAATTAGAACATCAAAGTTGGGGGACAACTGTCCCACTTATAACATGAGTTTATCCCTGTAATTTTTTATAATTTGTCTCCGTCCCTTAAATTTTTATAAGTTCGCGCTTCTAACACAAAATCTTGTCTTTTAAGTGTCACGCTTTACAGACCTCCTGATATTAGAAAGTATAAAATTCCATCTCATAATATTTGATCCTACATTGGAAAAAGGTGCAAAACCTGTCCCCCTCCCAAAATCACTGGTTCATCTAGTAAGGTGCAAATTCCATTTGACTACTGCGGTAACATAACATCACCGTGTTGTGGGCCTTGATGAGAGGCCTAGCTGTTAATATCCGGAAGTGTACGGCTTGTGGCTCTAAGTATTTGTGTTGTTGCATTTTAATCGTCTAGAACTCAAATTTCTCTCAGTGCATCCTACATTGCTGATGTATGCAGATTTTGCTTTTATGTTTGGATTGTTTTGCTGGTGCGTACGTTAAAATGATCATTCATGGCTACAAACCGACCTGATGTTATTGACCCTGCACTTCATCATTCTGCTGGGATTGCCAAGCATGGTGAAATTGACTATGAGGCTGTTGTTAAGCTTGCCGAGGTTAGTTAAAAGGAGGCATTCTCATTTCATTCCTACTGACATATAGTTTGAATCATCATCGGTTTAGGGTTTTAACAGTGCTGATCAATTCGTGCGGAACCTGACGACCAGGAGGATTTCATGAAGGTAAGACCTTGAAATACTCTGATATGTATATGCACTGTTAACTTTCTATTTTGGGGCATAAAATGTTGGACAGCAGAGGACAACGTGTCAATGGTGATGCGATTGCAGGCAGTAAGAAAATTAAAAGAGGCCGAGAAACTAGAATCGTGCACACTACAGTACGGATTTTGGGAAAGAGTAGAGCATCAGCTTTCTATTCTTGTTTCGATGCCATGGAGTGCATTCTATTTTCAAAATGCCGGCCTTTATTTAGCCAACTGTTCCAAGAAATTCAGAATTACATATATCATCAAAACACAAATAGCGAACGTGTTTTAACTTAAAATAAAACAAACCATTAACAATTGCTTACATCTACCAAAACAGAAAACTTGATATCTAAAAATCATGAAAATAACTCCATTACCTACTACCTTGAACTTTAAAAAAAGTACAGCCATTAGATACCATATTACCTCTAATTTGAAGTTGGTCATCCACAAAACTCGTGTCCTACCCAGCACCAGGTTATCGGCAACAAAGGAGCATGTTGGGTCAGTGTTGGAAAATTTCCATGGACAATGGCAACCTTTTCACAGTATTACTTTAGAAAAAGGGTGGAGAATCTCAAACATAAGAAGCTGAGATTCGATTGGGGGATTGGCAACCTGACTCATGGGAAGACTCCGAGCTTCTCTCTTAAGCCCTTTGGAGTAAAGGAAAGAAGTACAATATTTTCTGACTGTGATAAACTTTTATGATAATACGGACAGGCTACTCAATCTTTTCTATATCTTACCCAAAACCCCTTCTTCCTGGCAGAATCATTTCCTGATAGTGTATCTTCCCCACTTAGATTCAATTGAGAAGTAGCGTTCAAGAAAGGCTTTGCCAAGGAGCTTCTCCGGCTTGAACTGGGTTCTAACTTTGGAGTTTTCCTTCTCGCAAGTAGCGTTTCAAGAAAGGCTTTGCCAAGGAGCTTCTCCGGCTTGAACTGG